GATGCAATTTGGAAAGAATCTAAAATTTTGGTTTACTCTTGATCCGTCTTCCGCAAAAAAGTTTGGTCAATTTCAGTATAGCCTTTCGCTAGGCATAACCGAAGTGCAGTGCAGATGTGCTCTTTAATTTGTTCATAGGTCGCTATGGCTTCCTTGTTGGACATATTAACATCGTTCACCTTGACAGACGATCTCAATTATCGGTAGATTGCAGATGATTATGCTCCTGCTTCAGTAAGCACGTCTTACTTACGTATATACCCAGTAAAATATTGATCATTGTTTCTTCTCCAGCGTCTACTTCGTGATCTTTGTCCGAAGCTACCTTAGATTAAAGTCAAGATTGGTCGAAGTGTATATTTTCGAAAAAGGTACGCAATCTGTTAGGAGCCTAGTGCGTCGTATCCTGGTGTACCTGTGCACGTGATAAACTTACTACAAGTCCAAGTATCGATAGAATTTAACTCAGATTAACTCCTTAGTACGAATAGTCTTCCCTGATTTCAATAGATCCATTTATTTGGGTGTCGACATCTTAATAGCTCAATATGGGTTGGATCCCCATTGATGATACAAAAGCATGCGACGAGCCGTACCCTCTCTTTTAAATATGGCTTTCAACTTACGTCACGTCTAAAGGTACTCCCACAGACCCCAGTGGCCTAGTGGTAGACCACTAAAGCTTGGACCGAGTGGTACCTGGGTCGATATCCTGGAGGGGGGGTTCGATAACAGGGCGCCGGATATAGGCTATTAAGGTATGACGAGAACCACCCAATGGAGGGCCGCCCTGCCAACCCGCACCGAAGCGTGTGTGATAGTTGGGTGGGCTAAAGGCCCTACTAGCCGAAAAGCCCCATAGTGTAATGAGGGGTGTGGACCCTGGTGAGTTCAAACCGAGCCGCGGTACTCGCAGAGCACAACCGGGAGGTCTGAGGGGTCAAACGGCATAAATCTCTATAGGTATTCCATATAACATGTATCAGGGAGGACCTCTGACACATTTAGCCTTCCATTTCGTTACATATACGTTGATAAAGGCCCCTCAATCAAATACCGAATCTTTTATTTTGATAGATTATGGTGGACTTGAGATATCGCGCAGCTTTTCTAGCATATACATGTACCCTCTACAACAGCGTTGAAAGTTAGAAAGATTTATAGAATTAGTACAAGAATTTTTACAATTCCCGAGAAGTGAAGGATCTCAAGGTATTTTGCTAGGTTACAAGTTATTAGTCTATAGAACTTAAGCAGGTACATTTTTCCAAATTGTTACTTGTCTCACGTCAACAAATTGAAGACACGGATCGTGTGGCTATGGAATGACGGAAGGGTTGAAATCACACTAATCATATCTACGTAAAATTATTGGACCTGCGCTCGCCTATACTTACGACCTTTAAAATTACCATACATATTGATAAGGTTTCAGTATTATTTGAAATTTTCCGTAAACAATCGGCTACTGTTTTTGCCCTCGCCAACGATTTCGATGCGCGAGGTCGATTTTGGATCAAGGAGGCGAGAAAGTATAACAGATGAGCAGCTCTAATATTCAGCTGATATGGAATCACAACAAACGTAACTAGATTAACGCTAAGTCGATCGCAATTTATTGGCGACCTAATTGTCTCATCTGGACGTAAAACACCATCAGCTAATGATGGTCGCGGCAGTTGGGGAGTACAATGGTGATCTCATGAAGATTACAATAATCATATGACAGAATGACGTGAACATGGAGTCCTCGATCAAGGTGATCTACTCACGCGTTTGGACAACCCTATGTTAATTACAGCTATGTATAAATTAATAAAAGGCGTCGCAGCTATCGCAACGGTAACCTTCAAAATAGGAAGTGCAACGAGCAAGTTCGCTGACAGTGCGACTGCTTTATAGCGTACCAGACGGAGTAATACCATCTCTGGACCCATCCAACATTCGTTCCGCTGTCTGAATTCGACAATCGTTGCCCTATCTCACTAGACCTTCAGTTCGATTGCAAGATTGATTGCGTGAAATATTATAAGCCATATCTTGCAAAAAAAATTAGATAGCATATATAATTTCGCTCCGACCGATAGCCATACGTCGCACCGCATCTTCAAATACCCGTACCCGACAGATCTAAACGTAATGATCTATTGCAGTCGGTACACCCATCCCAATTTTTCTATCTCGTAACGACACTGCGCGATTTTTATAAACGGCGTGTGTAGGGAACCGTCGAACATTATCGATAAAGCGCTCAGTATGACAATGGGACACTGAAGCCTATGTAATATAGTTATAAGAACTATATATGAATTGCGTTTCCCAACACCAACCTGCCTCGCTATCCCTGGATTCTTGACCATCCTGATCGATTTTCTATATCAACGTAAGATTTATAGGCTTGTTCTATTCGCGTTGTTAGTTCGATCATATTCTCGGAAAAGTATACTTATCTAATTCTCATCATTTTTAAAGCCATATTGACATATAAATTTTCGCCACGAATTTCTCAATCTCGTACTCTCATTGATATTGATTGACTTTCCATCTTTTTAATAATATTTTATGTATAGCAGATATACATTTAATTACCAATGCTCCGTGTGTGCGAACGATACATACATACGAAATTTTGATGGCTCACCAGTTAGTTACAATACGCCTATATCAATTTATTGAGTCCCGGAACTACCAAACTATATCTGTAGCCTCTCCTTTATTGCCTATCTACCTCCCGCAGTGTCGATATGATGAGGTCTTGGCATCTTTACCCCGAGAGCGGACAGAATTGGCCACGAAACAGATCCATTTAGACAAAAATGTTAAAGAAAACTAGTGTGGCCTCCACTTTATCTGCAAACTGAGTAAATATATGGATCCGATTGATGTACTATCTTCGTCCCGAATAGGTCCATGTGTGGTATCCAGATCTTTGAACACGGCAGAATAGCACATAGAGCATCTAATAAACGCCTGAACACAGTGATGTATTGTAGAGCCATCAATGATCTAGTAACAATCATTTTGCGATGATCACTATAGATATTCCTTACCATTCCGGATAATAAGTTCATAACGCACAGGTTTCAATTTGTTGTAGTATTTATTACAAATGCATCTTTATATTAATTTTTATTTGATTCGATCGAGTCCATTATTATATTTCTTCATATAGTCATCGGCCGTAATCGCACTATGAGTTACCTTACTCATTCCGCACGTTACCGTTCCATTTTCGCCTTCACCCTTCTGAATATTGTTTAGGCACCCGTACGAATAATATGATCACTACAAACCACACATTGCATGTCAGCCATACAATTTTAACCCGTCTGGCCACATGATTTTGAATCGACTCCGGATAAGAAATTCCTATTGAACACCTATATTCAAGATCCTCATTTAAGACCAGACTTGTTCACGCAGGATTGGTCGCTGAAATGTATCAGTATCCAAGAAGTGACGTTATACGCGACCGAAACATGTTCAATAACCTTATTGAAAATCGTTTGTTTATATTACTTAGGATCGTTTTCCTATAGACAGGCCTCCCTATTTACGGGTCTACCGTAAATACGGTAAATAAGCTATTTACGGGACGAGGTACGACCTTAGATACGGTTGTTTACGGGCCCTTATTTAAACTTCTACGAAGAGCGAAAGCAGTTGGGACAAATGAATATTCAAGGACCGTGTTTGTATTCATTGTCTCCGCTTAGAATATTAGTGTCTGCAGAAGCCTGAACTGCCTTGAGAGCATCAGGCCTTCCAGGAAAAAGTCTGTCAAGCTCATCCAATGGATGTATTTTTCCCTTTTTAGAATGGATAAGTCGCTCTCTACAGAGGACGTTCCCGGAAAAGTGCTTGCCAGTCCACCAGAAAACATCTCCAGCTTCCTAAATCGATCACTTGTGAGTTTCCAGGCCTTGCTGAAGGGCGATTGGTTTGTACACTCGTCCAATGCATTACGGAAGGGCTCTGTCTTGCGGTCAGCATTTTTGAGATCACAAACTCGGTTTTATAGAGTCCATTGTCGCTCCTGGAGAAATAGGGGCTTAACGAGCAGCAAGACGTTTACGTTGTGCGCATACAATAGAGGTAAAGTTACGTCCATTCAGTGTCACCAGCTCGTGCGGCAGCACCAGTAGCAACACGTCCAAGGAAAAGCCATTCAAGGAGTTTCGTTTGGCCACGACTTCGTCCAGCCCAGCGATCAAATTTAGCAGGCCCTTGCTCAAATTGTTTGCCAGGTATTCCATGCTAGCTTGCCTGGCATGTTGCATGCGATCGGATACAAAACCATTCATGTCTTCCAGAAACGTGGTCATATCTGCGACACGAGCTGAGAAGAAATCGTTGCCGGACACAGTGTCTCTCTCATTTTCGATGTCTTCACGCTGACCAGAAGCTGATTGCCCGTTGGTTTGACATACTCTTTGTAGCAAGTCCGTAAATCGGCGATGGCTTGGCGCTGCCGTGAGACCAGAGTGTCATACTTCTGAAGTTGCTTGAAGGTAGCGGTGGCGGCTGCGGACACATCTTCGACGAACATCAGGACTACCCACCATTCATACGGCGGTTTGCAGGACGAATTCTTCGTCTCCAGGTACTCTCTGGTGGCCACACGGTGCGTTTCGAACCAGCTGGCGACCTTTGACATGGATTCCCACCTTGTTTCTGCGAGTGTGCGACATTTCGTTCCCATGTCGTCATTCAGGATCTTTCGACGGCGCAGGTATCCAATGAGTGCTGTTAGCATTAACACAAAACATTTTCCATCAATTTTTCGTAGAACGATCGCAACTTCAAGTCCAATTGATGTGAACCACACCAGATGCGGTAAAAGCCAGGAAATGCTGCTTGTTTAAATAGCGTGTACATTACGCCAATGTGGCTGGTCATTTGCGGTTCGCCGCCGTTGAGATTGAAATCAGCATAATCTTCCAATCAGTGCAGAGTACATCCAGCACTGTCAAAGCGTGGCGGTACACTTCTGCTGCCGTATGCCTGCGGGAAACCGGAACCCCAATCAAGTGCATGTTGAGGTTCTCGCCATGCCAGAAGAGCCGAATGCGGATATCGAGGTAAGAAGTCGACATGTGAGTGGACATATCCAACGCAATTTAGACTGCCCATCTATTTTCCAAGATGTCCTGGATATGTTGCAGGTTCAAGGCCAGAATAAAGCGAGCGTACTGAGCGACCCTTTCATCCTTGGAAGTGCCGATCTCCGCAACGCCGGTGACTTCTTTCGTCATGGTAACCAGAAATTATGCTTGGCGAAAGGAAACTTTAGTGCTGAGGAATCCCGCCACCAGATTGACTTGCTTAGGATTCAAGATGTCGATTCGATATTTGGTTGTGGCCAATCCTGGGTCTTCAACGGTAATGGGATCGAGATCTTTGAAGATTTTTAGTGGTCTTTCCCTGCACATGTTCGGCAGCCCACCGTCGTCGTCCTGGTCGAGAAGTAGGTTTCCGATGATGACGTCGACAACCGCTTTGTTAGTGTAAAGCTGCATTTCTGTCTTCTTGCCGGCCAAGTGCGACGGAATGGTGATCCTGTGCCTAACTGGTGCATCTCTTTGGAAAAAGGTGGCGTTCTGGTCCCTGGCCAGGATCTTGAGTTGGTCCTAGCGAGCCTTGTCCTGGCGGCTAAAGTGCTGTACGTAAATGTGGGTTAGAATTGATTTAGCGAAAGACTTAATATTTTCGGTTCTGCGCCGCTTCCGTTCTTCCTGGGCGGTGATCGTGTATGTGTCCTCTTGGCCAAAGTACATACAGAAGAGAAAAAATACTGAAACGACCTCCGACGTGGCTGCGTCCCGACTTGCGATGGAAAGTCCGTAGTTGACTCGGTGGTCTGGGTTGATGGGAGTACGCCGCGTACCGCGCGGCATAGCGGGAGCACGGGAGTTGAGTGTGAAGATGGTAATAAGGCGTGCTTGAGACAGAGTGCGAGGAGAGGGGAGGTGGGGAGGGTGAGTTAAAGGAGGGTAGACAGGCAAGAGCGCCGGTATGTATTAGGGTGCCGCCAATAAAAGACGTATTATTAAAGTCCTCATTTACAAGAGAACCGTGACCTTATTTGCGGTTTTTTACGGTACAAGTACTATTTTTCCCGTAAATAAGGAGGCCTGCCTATAGACACACATTGTTACTATTTTTGACTCATTGTTTAATAAAAATATTTGATCGAATTGTTTTCATCCGTATATTAGGGTGCTCTGGAATATGTTAATCATTTTAACTCAAATACACATACTTCTGGGAAGAGTCGGTACGGTAGCCCTGCTTTTCAAAATCAATCTCATTATTTTGATAATTTATGCCACACGAAATAATTTGTGCCACAAAAATGGAATTTGAGCAAAGCCGTCCTAATCACCGATACAAATGTACCCTAACCTGGATCGCGCTAAATTTTTAGGATACTGTAAATTGTGTATTTAGAAATATGCCCCATTACAAGTCAACCGATTTGGACCGCAACTTACCGTAGCTCTTCATTATAGGCGTTGCATGCCATACCACTATCTTTGAACATCTAGATCACAAGATTGGTATCTTTTTAAATGAACGGCTTATCCATTTTATGTCTATGGTCCAAGCCATTAATCAAATGCAACAAAGAACTTGATTGAACAGTTATTCGCGAGGTTGATCGCTATTTCAGTCGTTTCCTGCTCTTGCTCTTGCTGCACTATTTATTTCGTAGCTTTTGGGTAGAACAACCTATCCTCATGATTTCATAAGCGGGCGATACCGGTCTGAATTCGCGTATTCAGTCCTTTTAAATATTATACATGTCATTGTTTTCAACACATTAGACACAAATCTAATCGACGTCGTCAAGAATGGCACACTGCCACCGCCATGATATAGCTAAGCGTTGATGATGTTTATTCCCTCGAAATTATACTGAAGTCGATTCAGTCATTGCTGTTGCGATTCCGAATGCTTTTTATTGCCGAGACGACTTATACATATTAGATGAATCGCTCTTGTGTTGTTGCGCAACGTTCTCTCACCTTCGAACCCGTCGTAAGGGCGCATTGCACCTTTTTTGTGTACTCGAGTCGATCCCTAGTGACCGTAAGTTAGATTGGTATCGACCGGGTAGATTTGACTCACACTCTCGCTTTTGCGTATCAGGAGCTTGAAGTGGGCTACATATTTATTTATGGATAGATTTGTCCAAACTTGATACTTCAATGCCTTTTTAAAGATCTTTAAAGCCGTCTTGTAATCTAGTACAGAATTTACCTAATTTATTTGCGCTCGACCTCAATTGAAAGGGTAGATTTTATTTTATCTCGCGCCAAGTATATAAAATTATATCAATCTTAAATATATTGCAATCGTCGTTCTCTGAAGACAAGAAGTGAAACGATTGACTCGGAAAAAGGTCGACGCGTACGCGGTTAACGTACATAAAAATTAATATTGATGATAGCTTAACAACCAGAACAGCAACTATACATTTAATTTGTACGGCAGAATGTAGTTGCCATGGTGTCACCTTTCCACTCATTAAAACTTTGTAAATGTCTTCCTAATGCGGAATAGGACTACTGGATCAAAAAATACCGGTGCGATTGCATAGCGTGGCCGACGCAAATTTTAAGCTACATGACCGAAGGTAAATATCAACTTTTCTTACTAATATTAGTTTAACCAATAATGTTGCCAAATGTCATACCTTCGTCGTCTCATAACAAATACTGGAATACACGACTACCGTACCTTGTCCTCGTACTTGCGAATTCAAAATTTCAAAAATTGCGATGTATAATCTTCTACAGACATAATCTTCCGGTCGTAAATTTCGAAAAGAACTCTTTTTCAGTGGCATATGCTGTCATATTTACGCAACTTGTTATGTACAAAAAACTACCTTATCAGATATATTTAATCCAATTACGATCGTAAATTCTTCTTCCTATTCCCTTCCTACCAATCAGACTCCTATCGGAATTATCTGTTGCTCCAAATAAACACAATTCTTTTTATAAAGATTTATCTGGGCCTGAATTTGTCGTAATCGTCTTTTGCACCGATCGTCGGCATATAGTGTCGGTATGGCTGTGCATTTGTACAATAAATTGCCTTTGCTTATATATTTGCCTCTTCTACGATGGCCAATCTCGTGTCGTTGGCCATTGCTCACACTTAAGGGTCAAGCAAAACTGATCGCGGACTATAACTGCAATTGCCGTCTCGAGTTCTTCAATTCCGGTCGCGTATAGTCTGGCACTTACATATGCAATATATTTGACCATGACGGGAATAGATCCAGCTGGCCTTTTCCCTGCAACTATTATAGCGGCTGCTATTGTGGATTTAAAATCGCAATACTTTTAGCGATATCGTTCCTGAACCAATACGAAAGTCTGGATGATATTAACAGAGTTCAGTTTGCAAGCAAATTATTTCTGCTCCAATAATTCGCGTACCTGTTCTACTAACCATCGATCACGCGATTGGAAACGGCGCAACCTACTTTCTACATTAGCGACTAGGACCTTAACAAAGTTTAATTATATTTAATAAATTATGGTTTTGGGCTTTAAAAACAAAAGGTCCACAGAGACCTTAAGAAGAGCGCTCTTATATTGATACACTTTATCATCGCAATACGTCCTTTTTATAAAGCAAACCTAACTTACTGCGTACGCGGTATTATGCAAAGGTTCAGCAGTCCAACATATTTTTTCACGGGGATGTTTGATCGTTATCATTCGACTTGATAAATCACGCATTTGTATAGGACTGAATCGTACTAAGACAAGAGCGACTAATTGTACAAGAAAGATTTAAATGCGAGATAGCAATCATTCGGAAGCTGATGGAAAGAAAAACGTGACCGAACGCGGTGCAACAGATAATGTTTTCTCGCTAGGATAAAGTTTAAAAGCCATTTCGAACTGCAACTTGCATTCGCATCAAAGACATAATTTTCAATGCACTATTTCAATGCGATGGCTTTACAGTTGAGCACATCAAATGTGTCGGCTCTCCTTGTTACAAGCGCGATAAGAATGCATAATTCTGTCTTCTTTGGTCGCGATGTCACTCTAATGTATGTGTGAATTTGATATTTGACTTGTTATATTGAGCGTGGAAAAAACAGTATAATTAATATATGCATAGCAAGATTGCGAGACGTCATTGGTCGACAAAACCATTTTGTGTCCTCCTGCGGCCCATGCCTACATGCGCTTACTATCGTGTCGGCACAAAACAACTGCCTAATCTATAATTGTAGCATAAGTCCTCGCTATATCACCTCAATATCCGACACTTCTGTCTTTTTTTCAAAAACCTTATCGAAATACGACGGTGCCTTGACCAATTCCAGAGTAATTTGAAATTCGACTTATTCCACAAGTTGCCCAATTCTTCATTAGGGGTACGATGTTGCGCTTCGTTTTTTCCTTTTCCCGAGGGCGAAGGATCGTCTATTTTTGATGACAAAGCACTTGCAGCCCAGTCTGACGTGAAATTGCTACCACGAAGCCGCAGGAATATTGCAAACTATCGCCCTCGACTAGATCGGATGCAAATATAGTTTTCGCTACCACGTCTAGGCCCCGATCCCGATCTGGATCCTCTTCGTTGACAGCCGATCACGATCCCGTTTTGAATCCGGCGTCGAAGAAGCGGTCAGTAAAGCTGAAGAATCCATAAACATTTCTTAAAAGTCGCGAATACCAGTAATGATCTTTGCTTCTTTCATTGGCATATCATGTTATAGGTGTATATCGAGTCAAAATTTATTTATACATTCTCAATGCACAAGATCAATCATCGCCTGGTTTATTCCGCGAAGCCGGGATCGTGAGCCAGAATGAATCTTTACTCAGATCGCCTTTTTGAATTTAGTTGTACGTTTCGTCTACCATCTAGTAACCAATATTATACAGAACCTACCTTATCTTAAGCAGCTCTATAATCGTTCACTTTCTGTGACTTCTAATTAAAGGGTAAAATCAAATGCCTTACGCGTTTTATAAGTTGCAGGGCTCATTTACCTCAGACATCAAGAATTATGAGCCGCAGCCTGAGGTCGACCGGCTCTCTACCTGAACACGTTTGAATATAAATCTGGAGTACTGTCGACTTGTCGCCGACGAAATTAATTCTTCACTCTTAGCCAGCGTTGGCCAATCCAGTCCTGTTTCTCCTTTGAATCAATCTTCAAGACCCGCAAAAGCTCTTCCTCTCACAAATTAAAGGCATGCATAATTTTGCCCGCGCAAAGAATTACCTTGAGTGAAAAAGTGTCTTGTAGTTCAGATATCCTTCTCTGCATTACTTAGTAAAGATTGCTACACAGCAATGCTTGTTCAAGTTGCTCTAAGTCCTTCGCCTTGATTTTTTTCCAATAGAATTATTGTACCTTCATTCGATCTTA